TGCCTCCAAATTTTCTCTTTCACTCTATAGCTCCTTTGAACAGATGTTATAGAACGCACCCATGCGCGTAGTTTGTATTTTTGATCAAGGTTGAATTCTATCATTGAGCTTTCTACACTAAATACATTCCCTCAGTCTCAATGTGCTGCCTGAGAAACACGAACTGCAAGGCAATTTCATGGATGCAAATACCAAGAGGAGAAACTTCGTGTAAGTTTCACTAATCATGCAACTTCTCTGAACAAAATAAGGAATGACAATATAGGACGTCGGACAATAAACAATTTGGCCGTCATGTTGACTCCTCTCCTTCTCGGCGAAGTTCTCAGTACAGTGATGCGTCAAAAGAACTTGTCGAATTGTTTAGTCGTCGCAGCTCACAAGACTCTCGAAGGACCTCCAGCACGGTTATAGGAGATACGCGATTCGCTAGAGACTCTAATCGCAATGCGATTTCCAAAAATGAGTGGGCAAGATTTGCGCGAGATCATCCTTATGAGGGAAGACGCGATCCTATTGTCGACCAAAGATTCTACGACTACGCCTTGCCATCAAAGCGAAGTTCTGAATCTAGACTTGGATGCGAGTCTCGACTTTCCTCGCAAAATGTCAGCGAATATTTTCCAGCAGATTATCGCAACACATACGAGTACATCTACAACAAGGAAAACCGTCTGTGGATGAGGGAATTACCTCCCACCCCCACACTTGAAGTGCCCATGACGAAGTACGCGAAAAGGAATAGAAAGTTTTCTAGCAATAAACGATTTGGTATGAGTCCAGTATATGAGGGGAACGAAACTTGCGAGCGATGCAGACGACGCAGATCGTTTACCCGTCAAACAAAATCGCACGATGCGATATGGGCGAACCATGATTCGCCACACAACTATGTGAGGTAAACTAATGGTCAGAAGTGGAATTGTCTGAAATGGTTTCCTCATGTAGATCATATCTCCTCCCTTCAAATTTGGATTTATCGCTTGCTTCCACTCCCAAACCCTGTTACTACCCAAACCCTGTCATGACCGAAACCCTGTTTGTAATGTAAACCACAATCAATTAGTTCTCATCACTTTTCCAGCTATAAGAACAAAAAAA